GACGATTCTGAGAGCTTTTCTTCAGGAATTTTTCCTCCAAAGCTTTCCACATCTTACTTGCAGAAGTCTCGTTCTTGTAGCCATACTTCTGCTCCCTGGAAAGACAAGATCGAATCGTGCTGCACGCCAAACGATTGATTGTTCCCCATTCTTTCTCCTCCATATATTCGGGATTTTCTTCCTCAATGGCGATATCTAGACCTTGTTGGAATAAAGCGTCTAACACCTCGCCTTGCCATATGCCAAAATGACCAGATCCATCGAACAACTCCACCCGAGAAATTTGCATTTGACATCACCCTCCTCACCGGTCCAGATGAAGAGCTTGATGTCTCAACTGATCTGTATTTTGGCATTTTAATTCTAACGAACAATATTCAATATCACGAAATGTATCTTTTCAGCAACGGAACCACCAGGATAACCTCAACCGAAGCTCTGATGCCAATTGCTGGGGAAAACGGGTTATTTCCCACACGAACGTAGTTTTAAAATTGACCTAAAATGTCAAGATTAAAACCACCAAAGGTTGCACAGCGGATAAACCTGTCAAACTATTGAATATTGAAACACAATGGAAAAGAACCGAATAAAAAACAATAAAGAAGAGAACACACCAAATTTACGAGGTTCGACGAGAATATCGTCTACTCCTCGGGCACTACACCGGATGATAACTTCACTATATCGCCAATATTACAACAAATGGAATTCTTTGGAATTCCCAAAATGGGAGAATGAAGAATACAAGAGGAAGAGAGAACTTGTTTTTGGGATGATTTCTAATGGAAATACTTAGGCCTATTTATAGTTGAGTTTCAAGAACAATATGTTCAAATTTTGGCCACCTACCAAAGAATTTTCCAATGTGTACAAGTTAGCCACCAAATATGAAATTCACATGTTCAAAGTTTGGCCACCAACCAAGATGAAATTTCCAATAAGTTGGCCACCAACCAAGATGAAATTTCCAACTTGTCAACTTAATTTCTAGACAAATCTAACAGGCACTTATTCAAAATCTTGTTGAACTTCCCTGTTATGGACATTTGGATTGAATTTGGATGCGTGATTTTTCAATTTATGGATAGTTTCTCATGACTCTGATCTGCAGTTCCTGATGGTATTTCAATAGCTTAATTCCCTTTTGTGTTTCATTTGTCGATGCAATCAGATTTATTCGTATCTATTTTAGTCTCTTTGTTGATTCTTTTTTGTGGTTCGTTTGTCGATGCAATCAGATTTATTCGTATCTATTTTAGTCTCTTGGTTGAGTTTTTTACCTTTTTCATGTATGGTCCTTATATGATCTAAAGTGGTTAGTTTCAATGTTATAGGAAAAGTCCAAATTATATATTTAGTTTACTCTTATTATAATTTTAAATATTTTTATTTTTAAATAATACTAGTGGATTCTATTAAAAAAAATAGTGAAATAACTTTTATGATGAAATTAAGCTATTGCAATTGAAATAATGGATGTACTACATTGACGATGGCCATTTCTCACCCACCATGCCTACTGATTGTGACATCAATTTATATATATCCTTTTGGAAAATAATAATACAAATCCCCTCAAAATTTCATATGCAATCCAACCCCTAAATAAAGGTAAAGTATCACGTGCGGCAGAATTAATATACGGTTAAGGAAAATTGTTATCAGTTTTGTTATTATTTTTTAATAAAATCGGTAAAAAAAATTACCGGAAACATTATTATTTATACATGTTTTGTTATTATTGGGCGCTTTACCAGTTTTGTTAACATATCCGGTAAAGCGCTACCAGTTTTGTTATTTTTTTTACATTTTTTATTATTATTGGGCACTTTACCGGAAATGTTAAAAAACATTGATGTTTTAGATAGATATAATAATGTTTTAGGTAATGTTTTATTGGTTTTATTAAAAAATAATAACAAAACTGGTAGCGTCTTTCTTTAGCCGTATATTAAGACTATCGCACGGTAGAACTTCTTCTAAACCAATTTTCCATTCTGGAATAATTGGTATCAATACTCTATGAGTATCGATACTACTTTACAGAGTTGTATCGATACCATGAAACCTTAGTATCGACAGTTGTCAAGTCCAACGATCATTAAGGGCTAGTTTATTTAAATATAACAAAGACAATACCGATACTCCAAGCCCGAGTACATATACTCCTTGTTCTGAACTATTTTATTTTTGTAGAAAAATCATCCCAACGGCTCCAAACTTCCTCAAACGGCTAGAAACGACTACAAACTCATCACAACCTATAAAAGCAACACAAGAACACTTAAAGAAGGTTACAACACCTATCCAAACAATCTAAATCAAGAGAAAGGCTCTTTCACTTTTAATTTTTTCTTTTCTCTTTTACATAAGTGTTTTGATCTTAGTTGTATATCTTTAAGATTCTTTCTTGTGAGCACAATTCTTGTAGACACCTACCTTTGTGAGATTTTCTTGTTTACATTTCTTATCATTTGTAAAAGGGGAGTGGTTCTAGTTTAGCCTTTGAAAACTAGAGAATTTGTAAAGGTTACTTTTGATCCTAGAAAAATAAAGAACAAATTAGTGAATTTGTTAGAAATACTTAGTGTCGAAACGATTTTCAACGCGGGGAGCGAGATTTGGAAAACCGCGTCATTTTTAATTATTCTCTTTCCAATTGAATTTTAATTAAAAATAATGAGATTTTTAGAAAACCTCTCATTTCGAAAATTTGGAAATCCCTTTACGATAAAAACATATGGTTCGAGGAGTCGCCACCAATCCTTGATTAGGGTGTGATTGGGCACCCAAAAATATTGTCATTTTAAATAAAAAATTAATTTTAATTAAAACAACAAATTTGCGGTCTATGTTACCAAAATATGGGTTCGGGAGTCGGTTACGCGTGGAGAAGGATTAGCACCCCCACAGCGCCCTAAATCGGTACCTCGTCGATTAATTATTGTCTTTGCAACGAATTTCACAAGTTCGAATTTAATTTGATTTATGATCCCTTTAAACAACAAAAATGAAAATTTGTAACATTGAAAAGCAACAAAATATGTTAATTTAAAAATTACCAAGTCATTAGAAAGATAAAGGATATTCGATTATTTAAAAATATCGAGACCAGATCTTTAGGTAAGTTCTAACGATCTTTTCTCAAATAATTTAAATAGCCGAATATTTCTTTTTCTTTCATTCCTAAATTTTAAAATGATTAATCAATTCTTTTGGTGACACTGTTGGGATACACTTTTAATTTAAAATCGTCAAAACAACCCTCTAGTAAGTTAAGAGAAGTCGTTTCAATAGTTTTAAATTAAAAGAGTATTACCCTTAATCCAATTATGTGATTAGGTTAGGTCAAGAAAATGAGGCTAACATGCTTTAAAAATTATCAGATATAATCATCCAATTAGCAAAAAATATATACAAAATATTCCAACAATGCAGCAATTTAATATAAAAATTATATACATATTTTATAACTAAAAATTACATACTATGTTCATAATAATATTTAAAGAACAAATATGACTATAACAAATAAAAACACAACATATTATAAGTTTAAGATAATAATCATGTTTACTAAAACGAGGACTAAATAATATTAAATAAAACTTTACAAACTTAATTACAAATAGACTAAAAACTAAAACACCAATAATATACAAAAATAAACGACGCAGCTAAAATAAAACAAATCACCATCTTGAAGGATTAAAATTATAATAAACATTAAACATACATAGAACCAAAAGAAAAATGCAAAGAATGTAAAGGTCGAACATCTAAACAGTAAAAGTTTAATAAGATAACATTTGGGACCAAAATAGGATACGCATAAACATAAGAACCATATCAAAACACCACAGAAACTCGAAGCAATGACCAAAATAAAAACTTTTAAAAATACACGTCCAAAGTAAAAACAACGCTAAAATAGCCATAATATGATACTGGACCAAAATGTAACAAACTAAAAATGATGAGGCAAAATCAAAAGATAATAAAGTTCAGTACAGGGAGCAATACAGAACGGAGCGAAGTTACAATGGCCTAAATAGCTATTACACCATTACTCCTAAAACGCGCAGTTTCCCCCAGCTGATCGATACGCTGCCGTTTTGGGGGGCATCCAACGACGCCGTTTTGGCGTCTTAATATGTGTAATATTAGGGTAAAACTTTAAGCCCTAACTTATTTTCTAAACCTAACACTCCCCAGCGCCGTTCTCTCCCTCACTCTCAACTCTCCATCTCTCCTTTTATATCCCCCAACTAAACCAGAGCCTCCATGGCCTCCGTGGCCAACCAACCATCAACAACGACGCAAGCAAAATCTAAACTTAAGCCCCTCGAATCCCCCTGTTTTACCTCCTAAAACCCAGAGACCGACTCCGAAACCTACATGCAAGCACTTGGTTTGCCTAAGAACGCGACCCCCGACAGCCCTAGCCTTGACTAACGACTCCAACTCACGATAATCAAACACTCCTCTTCCTGTTTCCTTAGTTTCTTTTTTAGATTTAAAAAAATGCATGTAAAAAAAAAACCAAAGGAAAAGTTTAGATACCTCAGATTTAAATTTTTTCTATTGCTTTCTCCTTTTTTTAATACAATCATCAAATGAGAGTGCTGTTACAAAGGCTATCTTTCCTTGAAGAGTTGAGGGAACCGTACAAAATGACCTCCGTCCCCTATTTTGCTTCGGTTCTTCATTTCTTTGATGGATTTTTGCTCAACTGCCCCCTCTGTTATTGATTGCTAGCCGAGAACCCCCTCCTTCCTCTGTGTTTGTTTCTTTTCTAGCTCTCTCGTGTCTGTCCCTATTTTTTGGTCCCCCTGTTGTTGATGATTTCTATTTCGAATGGCTACTTTGTTTTATGTCTGTTGGTGAATTTTTGTGTTGGTTTTTGCTTCCTCAACCGAGAGCCCCCCCTTGTTCGTTGTTGAAAAATGGTTATATCCCCTACTTGGTTCAGTCCTCCTCTTTTCGTGTGTCTGCAGGGCGTCGTCTCAAGCACGGGCGAGCATGGAAAATAAGATGGGGAGTTGAGCCTGTCTGCTCGGGCATAGTGTTGTGGAGCAGTGTGTTTTCTCGGTTGGGGTGCTACATTGGAGCATGGGCACAGGGTCTTAACGTGGGCAGCATGGGGCTGCTGCAATGCATGGGTCTCCTGTTGTGGATTCACGGGTGGTCGACAGGGGCTGCTGTTGGGAGTGGTGCTCAAGACTGCTGTTTGATCTGCACAACTGGTGACCGAGTGAAGTGGAGCAGAACAAAGCCTTCAAGTGGGAGCTAGCTGCCAAAACCGGGTCTTATCTTGAAGCCTGGGTTTGAATGTAATTACTGTTGGGCTTTGTAATTGGATCTATTATTTTGTAATTTGGTTTGAGCTTGTGAGATGGACTCTAGATGATTAATTCGGGGTTGAATTTTAATTTGCCTCTCAATCTCCAAAATGAAACATATACGATCAATCCAATTAAGCACTTCAAGCTTTCAAACGCAAATGCCCATGATTTATCACTTGAATTAATTCATCCTCGAACACAAAACCTCCAAATTAATTCTCAAGCATCTTCAAATTAATTAAATTGCCCGGATAAAATTAGGGTATTACAGCTGCCCCTCTTTGCTCGTTGTTGTGACCACAAGAATGTAGCAAAGACAAAAATAATGACCTAATTTTGCTTGATTGCAACGTCATTTCCCTTTCTTCAGTCTTCTTCTTGACTTTCGCTTCCGTCACTTGCACGAACCATTTTAATGGATTATTCCACTTCTTCATATCCGAGAATCTTCGATTTCTTCCCATATCTGACGGTCTGATGGTTTGCTCCAACACTCTTCTAAAAGGCTAAAAATGGCTCGGATAACTTATATTGTACTCGGGCGTTTTTGTCCAGTCCCATCTTCTTGCTTTAAAATTTGATAAGAGATCTGCTCCACTCCATCTTCGGGGTAAGTGAGACTTGAAAAATCTTCGGATAACATGTCTGCTCCCTATTCTTTCAATGGGTATAGGACTTGATCAATCTTAGATCAGCAGGTTCGCTCCTATTTTTCAGGATGCATGAAACTCGCACAATCTTCAACAAACGTCTCTGCTCTCTATGCTTCAGAGAGTATAAAACTCGAACAATCTTCAACAATCGTGTCTACTCCCTATTTCTTCAGGGAGTAGAACTTCAACAATAATCTTCTTACGGGTCCACTCTCTTTTTCTTCAGGGAGTAGAACTCAAACAATAATCTTCCTATGGGTCCGCTCTCTTTTTCTTCAGGGAGTAAGAACTCGAACAATAATCTTCCTACGGGTCCGCTCTCTATTTCTTCAGGGAGTAGAACTCGAACAATAATCTTCCTACGGGTCCGCTCTCTATTTCTTCAGGGAGTAAGAACTCGAACAATAATCTTCCTACGGGTCCGCTCTCTATTTCTTCAGGGAGTAGAACTCGAACAATAATCTTCCTACGGGTCCGCTCTCTTTTTCTTCAGGGAGTAAGAACTCGAACAATAATCTTCCTACGGGTCCGCTCTCTATTTCTTCAGGGAGTAGAACTCGAACAATAATCTTCCTACGGGTCTGCTCTCTATTTCTTCAGGGAGTAGAACTCGAACAATAATCTTCCTACGGGTCCGCTCTCTATTTCTTCAGGGAGTAAGAACTCGAACAATAATCTTCCTACGGGTCCGCTCTCTATTTCTTCAGGGAGTAGAACTCGAACAATAATCTTCCTACGGGTCCGCTCTCTTTTTCTTCAGGGAGTAAGAACTCGAACAATAATCTTCCTACGGGTCCGCTCTCTATTTCTTCAGGGAGTATAACTCGAACAATAATCTTCCTATGGGTCCGCTCTCTATTTCTTCAGGGAGTAGAACTCGAACAATCTTCTGTTGCTTCACTACCTCCTTGTGAAGGCTTATAGATGATTTACTTCACTACTCTTTCGTGAAGGCTTGAGTTTGATTCGCTTTAAAGGTTGAACCTGAAAATCAAACATTATCAATCATTAATGTATGCTCGAAAATATCCAACTCAAAAATTCTGAGTTCGAGAAATTTTCTGAAAATTCATCTTCATCGTGAAAACTTGTCTGGAAGCCCTTAGATATGTGAATCTACTTTGGCTCAATTGTTGTCATCATTCTTTTTAGGATTTCAAAACTAGTCATCCTCATCTTGATGCTTCAATATATTAAATTTTCCACTATCATGGGGAAACCTGTAGACATTTAAGTCATCATGCAATGTCATGATCCTATTCATGCCTAAAATGTATGCAATTATTCAATTCAACACATTTTCTTCTTCAAAGGAACATCGTCTTATTTGATTTTGATGGACCTCGATTTTGTCTTGGGCACCGAACATTTGACCAGTTCACCCCAGTTAACAATCTCAAAATCATATCTCTCGGCTTGACATAACTTTGACTTCTCTCATTCTTGAAGCCTGTCATTACCCATGACCAACTTCTTGATGAATGACATTCTCTTTGGGCCACCTATTAATGGCTGGAATTTTCTATGAATCCCAAGGTTTCTGCTTCCCATAACCATACAAACATACATGCTAAAACCAATGTTAGCTTCAGAATACATGTCTTTTCAACATCTTTTGCATAACAATACAAAATGATCTCACGTACCACAAGTTAAGTTATGCGTTTTAACTTTTTCAAAATTAGATGCTTGTAAAAGGGAAATTGAAAAGGGAAATGTTACTTTATTTATAAATGCAAAGAATTTTTAGCAACTATATGGCAAACTTTTAACTGGAAAAAGAACAAAAGGATAGGCGCATTCAAATATCAATAACACAAATGCCTTTGAACTGGCACGCCGTTAGAATAACCCGAGCGTAGCTTCTATCAAAAGGAACTCCAAAATTGTGATGACACCTAAGAGTGCAAAGCTACTTCTGAACCCCAAAATCTCCCATTATTGGATGCCGTAAACCAGTATTGAATCTCATGTGCATTCAATTTCTCCTCTGGTTGCTTTCATAGAGACTCATTAATCTTTAGTCTCAATCCTGATCACCAACTGTCGTTGTTACTACTCACGTCATAAGCTCTTTCCTCTTCTAAAAATAATTCAGAACCTCCACCGTGCACGAATTCTGAATTTAAAACTCAAGCCGCCCTCTACGGGTTTTCAACTTGACCTCATTTGGTTTCAAGATGTCTTTTTCAAGTTTGCATCTTGAACCCCCCTTTTATTTGTTTTTGTTTTGTTTTTTTCTTATTTTTTTCATTTTTTTTTCATTTTTTCATTTTTTCATTTTTTTAATTTTTATTTTTCATTTTTTTTTCATTTTTCATCTTCATGCAAAACCTTTCTTAGCTGCGTTCGGAGTTCACTGAATAAGGTAATTCGAACTCATCCATCTCAATCAAGACTAGAGCTCCCCAAAAAGGTTTTCTTGACAACATAGGGTATTTTCCACTTGGGCATCCAATTCCCTCGGAAATCTTTTGGAACGAGCAATATCCTCCTGAGTATCAGATCCCTTTCGTGGACTTCTCGAGGGCGAACTTTCTTACCATGTGCTCGTATCATCCACTTCTGGTACATCTGACCATGGCAAATAGCTTTCAATCTCTTTTCTTCAATCAAATCCAATTGGTCATATCTGGCCTGTACCCACTCTGCCTCATTTAGCTTCACTTCTGACAAAACCCGAAGTGAGGGAGTTTCCACTTCAAATAGGGAGGACAGCTTCCATCCCATAAACTAGAGAAAAAAACGGAGTTGCCCCAGTTGACGTCCGTACAGAAGTCCGATAGGCAAACAGAGCAAATGGCAACTTCTCATGCCAATCTTTATAAGTTTCAGTCATCTTCTCTATAAGCCTCTTAATGTTCATATTAGCCGCCTCCACTGCCCCATTCATCTTTAGGCGATAGATAGTAGAATTATGATGCTTTATCTTGAATTGCTCACAGACATAGTCCATTATCTTGTTGTTTAAGTTCAAGGCATTGTCAGAGTCCATCATCCGTGCCCCACATAGCCAACGACCACAGAATTGTCATTATATGCAACTGATGAGGAGGGGTGTGCATTATATCTCCATAAATTCATTAGCGTGGGTACCACATACTCCGTCATGAATTTCTTCAAGAATGGTCTTAGCTTCTTTAGAGTCCACACACCTTAATAGGATCTGATCCATGCTTCTTCGGGGTCTCAACATTGAACACATACCCTGCTGTCATTCTTCTAATGGCTCTTTTGTCATTCTCGGTCGCCTGTTTGGGATAACTTTGATACCTTATATATTGCAAGATATCATAGTATTGAGTCTCCCATCTTCATTTTCTTCAACGTTAAAGCAGTGGGGCTGGATAATCATAAGCCTTCATCTCAATAGGCATCATATTTGCATGCATGTTCATCTTAAAGGCTGCTGTCAGAGTAGCCAAAGCATCTGTCATTTGATTTTCCTTCTCTGGGGAGGTAATTGAAAGTCATTTCTTCAAATTCTTCAATAAGTTCCAAGACTAATTTATGATATTCCACCGGTTTGGGACCTTTCGTTTCCCATTCTCCTCTGAGTTGGTAGATTACGAGAACTGAATCGCCATATACCTTGGGCATTTTTACCTTGAGTTCAATGGAAGCTCTAAGCCCATGACACAAGCTTCATACTCGGCCATATTGTTTGTACAATCAAAATTGAGCCGACTGGTAAAATGATAATGCTCTTCATATAGTGAGACCAAGATTGTCGCAATCCCATGCCCCAAGGCGTTTGAAGCCATCAAAGTCCATCTTCTAGTATCTCCCGGTGGATGCAATTGTTTCTTCCACCAAGATAGCCATTAAATCATCAGTCGGGAAATCAAAATTCAACGGTTCATATTCTTCAGAAGCCCTAATTGCAATGAATTCTACTATGGCGCTCCCTCCAACCGCTTTCTGGCTTACATACTGGATATCAAATTCGGATAACAGGATTTTCCAACTGGCTAATCTTTCAGACAATGCAGGTACTCCCATTAGTGACAAGCATCGTTCATATCTTCAGAGTGCACTTTAATTTGATTGTGGCTAGAGAAACCATCCATAAATGAGAACAAAGAATTTCCAGCAGTATCATCCACTAAAGTGTCTATATGTGGCAAAGGAAAATTATCCTTTGGACTTGCTCTGTAGAGATCTCTGTAGTCAACACACATTCAAACTTTCTCATCCCTCTTTGGCACTAGGACAATATTCGGCACCCACTCAGGATATTTGGCCACTGTGAGAAACCCGACATCAAATTATTTCTTCACTTCTTCTTTTATTTTGAGCAGCATCTCTGGTCTCATTCTTCTCAGCTTCCGTTATACAGGCTTGCAATCAGGCTTCATCGTAGTTTATGGACCACCAATTTTGTGTCCAAACATGGCATATCCGTGTACGACTAAGCAAATACATCCTTGAATTCTGGAAGTAATTCTATTAAGCTCTGCCTTCATTCTGCACACAGGGTGGTACCAATCTTTACTTCTTTTATCCTCATCCGTACTCAAATTCCATATCTCTATAAGCTCTTCATGAGGCAAAATCTGTTTATCTTCTTGTTCCACCATCTTCAGTAATTCCGAAGGTAGTTCACATCACTCATCGTCATCACAACCTTCGATTTCTCCTTGACACATGGGCATCTCGAAATCAATCTCCAGGTCAGATTCATTAGCATTTGTATCATTGATATCTGAGTTCCTGAAAGAATAACGGAAGCGAAGATATATATACATATATATATGGAAGAATCTTTTCCCATACAAATAAATAGAAAGAAATAATACATATATTATACAACCAAACATGAAATGTATGGGAGAGTGTTTGCCATTTTGGACCAATGAAATGCATCCTTTATTGAAAGCAAGTAAAAACACACAGCTTAACCCTTTGCATCAGATCCTCTATTGCCCCAGGGTACGAACAATAGGGAAAAGTTCTAGTGTGCTACTCTGCAAAAGATTTGTAAACTAAGGGCGATTCCTCCATAGTCCAGTTGTTCAACACAAAGCCTGGGGGTACAAGATAGACACCTATAGCTCTCATTCCTTCAAACTCCTCATTGGTTACAACATTAATGCCAAAATCCTCCAAGGCATTCTCAATCATCACTTTACCACTTCTTGAAGTCCTTTGAAACACATGCCCTGCTGATGTGAAAATGTTGCTCAATGGCGGGAAGGTCATGGGTCCCCAACTTGGGTCTTCACCAGTCAATATTGCCTCTCTCAATTCCTGATTCCTCTTGATGCCCTTCTGTTTTTCCTTCAAAGTTGGTTGATACCCTAAACCAAACCTGTCTCTTTTAGCAATAGGGTAATTTGGCCCAACTGGTCCTTGCAACTGACGTCCTAGCCCTTGGCTACCTTTGGTCCCTCTTCCAAGGGTTAGTTTGTGCCCCGTTTTGGTACAGTATGACGATCTAGGCTTTGAGATTTTCTTGCCTTCGGCCACAAACGTGGCATTGTCAAACGATCTGAAAAGACATTCAACAACTTGTTCTTCCACTTTAAGATATGGGGTTGCAGGAACTGAAGCAATAATGTCTTCTTCCGCATGAATACATACCAGCCTTCCATCAAATACGAACTTTAGCCTCTGGTGTAAAGTTGATGAAACTGCCCCAGCCTGATGAATCCAGTGTCTTCCCAATAAGCAGTTGTATGTAGGCTTGATGTCCATCACAAGAAACTCTACTTCAAATGTCGCTGGACCAATAGTCAAAGGAATATCAATCTTACCTAACACTTCTCTTTCTGTTCCATCAAAAGATCGAACCATACTTTGACAATTCCTCATCAGGGTACTGTCCACTGGCAGTTTTTTTAGAGTCACCAAGGGGATTTCATTTAACGCTGAACCATCGCTTATAAGTACTCTGGATAAAACGTGCCCTTTGCACCTAACTATAATGTGTAGAGCCTTATGATTGTCAATCATCCCCGAAGGGATCTCATCCTTTGAAAAAGATACAATGTTATTAGCCTGCATTTTGGCAACTAGTCGCTCCAGCTTTTCTGTGGGTAACTCCTTCGAGACAAAGGTCTGGTCCAAAACTTTTATCAAGACGTTGCGATGAGCCTCTGAACTCAAAAGAAGTGATAGGACAGAAATACTGGCAGGCAGCTTGTGCAATTGTTCTACAACACCGAACTCACTATGTTTCAAAAATTTTAAGAATTCCACTGTTTCATCCTTCGACCCCAGTTCATTGATAATGAGTTCGTCTTCTTTTATCTGAACATCGACATTCTTTCCTTTTTCAGCAGCAATCTTCTTCTCTGTCTCTTTGAAAAAAAACCTACCACTTCTGGTCAAGTGCCCTACTTCATTTATTTCTTCTTGTTGTTTTGCCCCCTCTCTCATTTGACAATCATACCTCCAGGGCACTTGTTTATTATCTTTGTATGGGAACGGAGTTGAAGGAGCTACCCTTTCATTCACTTGATTCTTGGGAGTAATGACGATGGGACAACCAACACTATGTATCCCTTTGGATGATCCTTCAGAAACGCAAATCTGTGCTTTTTCTTTTTTAGTCACTTCTTTGAAGAATTCGATTTCTTTCTTGTCCATCATCCCTTGTACCAATTTTAAGAAATCAGGACACTGTTGTATATTGTGTCCTACGCAATTATGGTAGTGGCACACCTCTTCACTGCTATACTGGTCACATGATAGACTAGGCTTCAACAATCCCACTTTAACCATTTGGCACCATACCCAAAGCATGGGTGATTCCACCTCACTAACATCCATAACCATCCTCTTTCCTTTCTCTTCAGCGACTGCGTTAATCCCGGCTCCAGCATGGTTTGGTAATGGATTTTGGGCTACCTTTGGTTGTTCACTGTCACCAAAATTGATAACATTTCTCCTTCTCAAAGCTTGAACGACCTTTTTGAATGCAGTGCAATTTTCAATGGAATGTCCAGGATTCCCACCATGGTAATCACACTTAACATTAGCATCATACCATTTGGGATAAGGAGGTTGTATAGGTACCACATGATAAGGAGAGACTAGATGTCGATCGTATAAATCGCGAAATAATTCCTTATAGGTTACAGGAATTGGATCAAATTGAGGCCTCCCTCTCCTCGGGTCCCTTGCCCCTTGTCTATTGTCATTTTGAGGTGGTGCCACCGTTCCCTGAGATCGGGACATTGTGATGTTACTGGAATCGTACTGGCTCACCTGGGTGACTTCGTTTTCCTTTTTCTTTATCGGCGGTTTGTTGCTGGACTCTCCTCCCTCGAGCTTCTCGCTTTTAATCGCCATTTCGATCATTTCTCCTGTCGTAACTATATCAGCAAAACTTCGGGAAGGAATACCGATAAGGTGTGAGAGAAAAGGAGCCTTCAAAGTATTAACAAAAAGTAGGTTCGTTTCCTCCTCTACCAACGGTGGGTGGACTTGTACTGCTACCTCTCTCCACCTCTGAGCATATTGTCTGAAACTTTCATTATGCTTCTTCTCCATTGCTTGCAGCACCATTCTGTTAGGTCTGACGTCCTTCACATGCTTATACTGGTCAAGAAAAGATTTGGCCAGGTCTTTCCATGTCCTGACATTAACTCACCTTAGTTGATTATACCATCGCAATGCTGAGCCTACTAAGCTTTCCTGGAAACAGTGGATCAACAGCTGGTCGTCCCCTACGTAACCAGTCATTTTCCTGCAGAACATTGTAATATGGGCGGAAGGGCATCTAGTACCGTCGAATTTCTCGAAGTCGGGAGTTTTGAATTTTGGAGGCAGGACCAAATCAGGAACTAGACGAAATTCTTTAGCGTCCAGTCGATACATACTAGTGTCTTCCTTCATAACCTGGACTTCACTTGCTAATTGTTCGAATTGTTCCCGAAAGTGTTTGTTTTTATTCTTTTTGGCCACTTCATCAAGGTCCGGGACTTGGTGACAGAGACTTTCTTCGGGGTGCGAACTAGGTCCTGGTTGAAGATTCACAGTAACGCCGACAGGATCTATGTACACTTTGGTAGGAACAGACGTTCCTTGGACATTTTGAGACTGTACCGAGGTAAACCCTGGAGGATAAAGTGGTTCTCCAGTCATTTGCTCAGGGGCCTTTCCATGTTCCAGGTTTCTCCCTTCCAACAAACTTGCCAACTTAGACAGCATATCTTCTTGAGCCTTAAGCATGTCCTCTTGCATTTTCCTTAGATCATCTTGCAACTGCAGTTGAATTTTTTCAATTTGAGTAATCCTATCTTCCATGGTTCTCTCCATTGTATTATAATGATGCTTGGATTTCTCCAGTATTTCTCTGTCACAGTTCCTTTACGAGTTACTCTCATGTTTTCATGATTGATGCATGTAAAAAATGCTTAAATTAAAGCGATGCAAATGCAAATGTGGATGCAAAATGCAAATGCAAAAGGTGTTAATTCAAAAGTGACCACTTATTGAACAACCGTTCACTTAGACAACAAGAATTCAGTAAGTACACCATGTAGTCAAAATACAAATGTGATTCTTCATCTCTTCATTTTCTCGAGTCGTACTCTTCCTGGGATCTGGAATTGCACCTCCAAAATTGCCGGCGTATTTCATCACCTTTGATGACGTCAGATGTCTTTAAATTGAATCTTGGGATCTCCATCTTCACTTTAACGCAAAACAGTCTTCGTGTCTTTGTGAAAGATCTTCTCGTCCCTTGTATGATTGTATCTATCTCTTGAGTCAACATCTCGTCCTTTGCAGCTTTAAAGGAATTCTTCAATCAGCTTCAGATATCGTCATTCATCGGGTGTCATTCTTCATGGATCACTTGAACATCTCTGGATCTCCCGATTTTGACTACATAGTGGAGAATTTATTGCCTCAATATGGTCAGCCTTCTTGTTAGTCAATCACTTGCGAATTAACACCCCTTGATGACATGAGGATGCAAATGCAATAAAAGCACAATAAAATCGACATAGAACAAAAATGGGTTAGTACGCATAAGATAAACAACAAGATAGTAAGTACCGTGAACATCGAATAAAACCTACCCTCACATGCTGACTACCCAATCATGTTTTAGTAGATCCTACCCGACATGATATCTACCCACATGCTTTGTTGTTCACAAAAAATCCTAACCGCATGGTATCTAATTCACATGCTTGCTCAAAAAATAAACCTAACCACATGATCTCTAGTTCGCATACTTTTTGCAAAAATAAATTCGAGGAAAAGGTTAGAATGAGTTTCCCCCTCTGCGACTTTTGAAGAAAAATGGACAGAGGTTCGATATAAAACAGGCAGAATTCTAACAGGGCCCTCGAATTGTCCTTTGCTGGTGCCCCCTTGGGCTTGCCAGACCCTCGATTCTCACCCATTATAGGCTTAAAACAAATCAAGTTCAATTCGAGAGGATACATATCCCCATATCCATGCGAGGAAACTCAATGTTTTCTCGTAGACATAAGGTATATACCCCAGAGGTTACTAGCTAAAGCCCGTGCGGAGAAAAATAATTTTTCTCACGTAAGCGTAGCTTTCACCCCTACTTAATGGGACAGAGCACAGTTAGAAGGCTCTGAATATTGAAGGTTTAGCAACAGTGGGTAAACTCATAATCCTTTGCCTCGATCCAAGAAACTCAACAAACTAAAGGTTAGAAAATTGAAACATGTAGATCACACGTTAGTACAACTATTTATTCATTCACCAAATTATAAATTAAGATGTAAATAAAACAATTCAAACAAACAAGGGATCAAAGACCAAATTAAAGCAAACTTATAAATTTCGTTTGCAAAGACAATTAATTAATCGACGATCGGCCTGACTCTCTAAAAAAAAAGTCCCCAGCGGAGTCGCCAAGCTGTCGAAACGATTTTCAACGCGGGGAGCGAGATTTGGAAAACACGTCATTTTTAATTATTCTCTTTTCAATTGAATTTTTAATTAAAAACAATGTGATTTTTAGAAAACCTCTCGTTTCGAAAATTTGGAAATCCCTTTACGATAAAAACATATGGTTCGAGGAGTCGCCACCAATCCTTGATTAGGGTGTGATTGGGCACCCAAAAATATTGTCATTTTAAATAAAAATTAATTTTAATTAAAACAACAAATTTGCGGTCTATGTTACCCAAATATGGGTTCGGGAGTCGGTTACGCGTGGAGAAGGATTAGCACCCCCACAGCGCCCTAAATCGGTACCTCGTCGATTAATTATTGTCTTTGCAACGAATTTCACAAGTTCGAATTTAATTTGATTTATGATCCCTTTAAACAACAAAAATGAAAATTTGTAACATTGAAAAGCAACAAAATATGTTAATTTAAAAATTACCAAGTCATTAGAAAGATAAAGGATATTCGATTATTTAAAAATATCGAGACCAGATCTTTAGGTGAGTTCTAACGATCTTTTCTCAAATAATTTAAATAGTCGAATATTTCTTTTTCTTTCATTCCTAAATTTTAAAATGATTAATCAATTCTTTTGGTGACACTGTTGGGATACACTTTTAATTTAAAATCGTCAAAACAACCCTCTAGTAAGTTAAGAGAAGTCGTTTCAATAGTTTTAAATTAAAAGAGTATTACCCTTAATCCAATTATGTGATTAGGTTAGGTCAAGAAAATGAGGCTAACATGCTTTAAAAATTATCAGATATAATCATCCAATTAGCAAAAAATATATACAAAATATTCCAACAATGCAACACTTTAATATAAAAATTATATACATATTTTATAACTAAAAATTACATACTATGTTCATAATAATATTTAAAGAACAAATATGACTATAACAAATAAAAACACAACATATTATAAGTTTAAGATAATAATCATGTTTACTAAAACGAGGACTAAATAATATTAAATAAAACTTTACAAACTTAATTACAAATAGACTAAAAACTAAAACACCAATAATATACAAAAATAAACGACGCAGCTAAAATAAAACAAATCACCATCTTGAAGGATTAAAATTATAATAAACATTAAACATACATAGAACCAAAAGAAAAATGCAAAGAATGTAAAGGTCGAACATCTAAACAGTAAAAGTTTAATAAGATAACATTTGGGACCAAAATAGGATACGCATAAACTTAAGAACCATATCAAAACACCACAGAAACTCGAAGCAATGACCAAAATAAAAACTTTTAAAAATACACGTCCAAAGTAAAAACAACGCTAAAATAGCCATAATATGATACTGGACCAAAATGTAACAAACTAAAAATGATGAGGCAAAATCAAAAGATAATAAAGTTCAGTACAGGGAGCAATACAGAACGGAGCGAAGTTACAATGGCCTAAATAGCTATTACACCATTACTCCTAAAACGCGCAGTTTCCCCCAGCTGATCGATACGCTGCCGTTTTGGGGGGCATCCAACGACGCCGTTTTGGTGTCTTAATATGTGTAATATTAGGGTAAAACTTTAAGCCCTAACTTATTTTCTAAACCTAACACTCCCCAGCGCCGTTCTCTCCCTCACTCTCAACTCTCCATCTCTCCTTTTATATCCCCCAACTAAACTAGAGCCTCCATGGCCAACCAACCATCAACAACGACGCAAGCAAAATCTAAACTTAAGCCCCTCGAATCCCCCTGTTTTATCTCCTAAAACCTAGAGACCGACTCCGAAACCTACATGCAAGCACTTGGTTTGCCTAAGGACGCGACCCCCGACAGCCCTAGCCTTGACTAACGACTCCAACTCACGGTAATCAAACACTCATCTTCCTGTTTCCTTAGTTTCTTTTTTAGATTTAAAAAAATGCATGTAAAAAAAAACCAAAGGAAAAGTTGAGATACCTCAGATTTAAATTTTTTCTATTGCTTTCTCTTTTTTTAATACAATCATCAAATGAGAGTGCTGTTACAAAGGTTATCTTTCCTTGAAGAGTTGAGGGAACCGTACAAAATGACCTACGTCCCCTATTTTGCTTCGGTTATTCATTTCTTTGATGGATTTTTGCTCAACTGCCCCCTCTGTTATTGATTGCTAGCCGAGAACCCCCTCCTTCCTCTGTGTTTGTTTCTTTTCTAGCTCTCTCGTGTCTGTCCCTTTTTTTTGTCCCCCTGTTGTTGATGATTTCTATTTCGAAGGGCTACTTTGTTTTATGTCTGTTGGTGAATTTTTGTGTTGGTTTTTGCTTCCTCAACCGAGAGCCCCCCCCCTTGTTCGTTGTTGAAAAATGGTTATATCCCCTGCTTGGTTCAGTTCTCCTCTTTTCGTGTGTCTGCAGGGCGTCGTCTCAAGCACGGGCTAGCATGGAAAATAAGATGGGGAGTTGAGCCTGTCTGCTCGGGCATAGTGTTGTGGAGCAGTGTGTTTTCTCGGTTGGGGTGCTACATTGGAGCATGGGCACAGGGTCTTAACGTGGGCAGCATGGGGCTGCTGCAATGCATGGGTCTCCTGTTGTGGATTCACGGGTGGTCGACAGGGGCTGCTGTTGGGAGTGGTGCTCAAGACTGCTGTTTGATCTGCACAACTGGTGACCGAGTGACGTGGAGCATAACAAAGCCTTCAAGTGGGAGCTAGCTGCCAAAACCGGGTCTTATCTTGAAGCCTGGGTTTGAATGTAATTACTGTTGGGCTTTGTAATTGGATCTATTATTTTGTAATTTGGTTTGAGCTTGTGAGATGGACTCTAGATGATTAATTCGGGGTTGAATTTTAATTTGCCTCTCAATCTCCAAAATGAAACATATACGATCAATCCAATTAAGCACTTCAAGCTTTCAAACGCAAATGCCCATGATTTATCACTTGAATTAATTCATCCTCGAACACAAAACCTCCAAATTAATTCTCAAGCATCTTCAAATTAATTAAATTGCCCGGATAAAATTAGGGTATTACACTTAGTGTGCAGCTAAGATAATGGATGTAGATTTCATTGAGGAAGTTGAACCACTTTAAATCTTTGTGCAAATTTTCTTGTCCTTTCTCCTCCATACCCAAATTTTTCAAAAGACCAATTCACACTCTCTTAGTAATATTTCGATTGATCTTTAGAGCCCCAACACCATCCTTTAATTTCACAAAAGAGCAATACTATAATAGTTTTACATTCTTATTTTATGTGGTAAAAATTTGAAAGACTATATAAATCTTGAGTGCAGCATCTGATTTTTAGAATTATATCAATCTAGATAAAATTACTTTTAAGACAGTAAATGCCTAAAAATAATTATATTAGATTTATTTTATTATTATTATTATTATTATTATTATTATTACGGATAATGTTTTCATTTTGCATTCCTAACTATATATAATTAACACAATAATTTGTTGACGCAAATTAAGCTATTGCAATTGAATTAAGACTATATTCCACTTATGATACCCATTCTCACCCACTATGTGTACTATTTGTGACCTTAATATGTACATATTCATCTTGACAATGAATAAAAGAAATACTTTCCTCTCTTAAAGATAAATTAAATCATATAAGGTGGAAGAGAGTGTTATTCTTTCTAGAAATTTTGGATTTGACAGTTACATCTGCAGGATGTGTACGTTGTAAATAGTAAAAAAAAAAGATTATGAACATATTCCTTATAATTCCTAGAATATTAAAAAAAAGTCATACAACTTCAAAATTTTATATGCAATTCCTGCCCAAACAATTAGTTTCTTGCCCACTGCATATATGCTCATAATATTTCATGCAAATTGTTTTGTGGTGTTGATAGGTTGCACTTTCTTAATTTCAATTTATTGATTTGATTGGCGTCCTCATAGGCATTTATCAAACCTTCAATTATTAGACTTCACTTTCAAAAACACGAATCATGTGTGCTCCACATGGACCACTCCAAATTGAGTTCATGTTATTTATTTATAAAATAATGAATGTATAATTCTCACTATTTGCAGGTTTGTTGCACAAAAGTATTCAACACATTGTCGGTAAAGGAGTCATTAGACATTAAAAACTTATTTTTCCTTTTAAATCTTTACCAATATCAGTTAAACTAATATTCGGCTACTTTATTATAAGGTGATGTTCTTCCTTCAGACTACCATATTAGTTAGAAAGGATTGTGGCCTGTGGGGGACCCTATACTTTTTGGACCGTCCTATATGTAATGGAATTCGCATAGTAGAAAATAATAAATAATAATAATAGAGAGCCCTTAAGAGACACGTCTCAATTAACTCCATAATTTTGCACTATGGAATCCTTTGCTTTTATATCCCAATTTCACATTTCGTCCTCTCAGTCTTTCATTTACCTAATAACATCATTAGTACCATCAACCACAAGCACTTCATCTTTTACAAACTTCCTTCTCATCTGATCTTCTGTCTATCGGATCGATTCGCTGCTATGTTGATGAAAGCAAACTGGTTCAATCTGCCGGTAACAGCCCTGGCAATATTCTTCGTAATCACCACCGTTGCATACTCCACCAACGGCTTGGAATCAAGGGAGCTCGATGGGAACGCAGCACCACCAAGTGACGATCAAGGCATCAAGTGTACCCCATCATGTACACAAAGTCCTCCACCGCCTTCCCCACCTCCACCGTCTCCACCACCTCCGGCATGTCCTCCACCGCCGTCACCACTGGTGTTTTATCCTCCACCATCACCACCTGTGCAGTATCCGCCACCGTCACCGAAAAAGCCACCGTCACCGAAAAAGCCGCCGTCCAGTTGCTGTCCGGCTGGACCTACTCCACCCTATGTATACACAACTGGTCCACCAGGGGAGCTGTACCCTATCCAGCAAAATTTTGGTGGTGCGAGCAGGAATTTGGAAGTGGGGTTATTGGCTCTGGTTTCTGGATTCATACTGGCATTTTGTACGGGGGTATACTGATTTGGATTCGGATGGCTCCTCGGATCTTGTGCAATAATTTGGATACAGTAAGTATAATTTATTATTTTCTTTTAGGACAAGAATTTTTTTTTCGGAAAGAAAGTTATTAGGAACTTACTAGTTCCTATACTTGCTGTATCTATTGATATTGTTCAATAATAAGTTGTTTATCAAATAATAACAACGACAACACTTTAGTCACTTTACTTATTTTTCTGATTTTCGATTTTTTTTAAATTTTCTTCAAAATATATGTGTGTATGTTGTGTGTGTGAGAGAGAATAATAATGTTATGGTGATTTCTGGGTTTGAACTTTGAAAAATGAATTTATTTGGTAGAGATGTTCAAGAAGGTGCATCACTTTAAGTCTTTAATGTTAGTATTTATTTATTATGAGTAAAATATATAAATGATCATTCAATTATAGAATATTATTTTATTAAGTCTTTAACTATTAAAAAAATAAAACGGTCATGTGGTTATAGGGAGTTACTTTGTTGAGTCACTTAACTATTAAAAGTTATAAAATGATCACTCGACAATTTATTATGTTCCAAGCTTATTCTTTTTCGTTAAAAATTTGACAATAGTCTAAACTGTACGTTAATCTGATGATTGAGATATGATATAATCTGATCTTATAATATGGAATGACTAGCACATCTCAATCAATAGGTTAACGTCTAGCTTAGACGACCATTATTTTTTTAATAAAAAAGGATGAATTTAGAATATAATAAATAGTCCAGTGACCATTTTATAACTTTTAATAATCGAATGACTCAACAAAGCAACTGTCGAAACTAAGAGACCATTTTGTAACTTTTAATAGTCAAGAGATTTAATAAAATAAAATCTTATATTCAAGGGATCATTTTTGTACTTTATCCATTTATTATTTTATAGTTTTCTTATTAAAAACATTTGAGTGGGAATTGTGGTATAGATTATGAAAGTTCGACGTGTAATTTTTTTATGGCTAAAATTATGTATTTTTAATAATAAAATTAAGTTATTTTCAATATTATAGAAATAATAATATTAATTAAGTTAATATTCCATCGGTATTTATGTTTCGATCTAAAAGAAATTTATACTTTTTATTAATTTTGATTTTCATCTAATCGGTAAGCTTAAATTTAGTATTTATTTAACATTTAAAAAATTGTTATTAATATTTACATTTTTAAATGAATTTTAATTAATAAATAAATAATATTTAAAATCAAGTAGATCCTAATTGACACGTCCATTAGATAAGGCAAGTAAATTTTCAAACGTCTACAATGCAAACACACGTGTATACGTAAATATAGGTAACATTTATTCATAAATATATTTTTTTACAAAATAAATATATGTTCCCTGAAATTATCATATATTTTATATTTTTTAATGTAATTTTTATAAAAAATATTTATTTTTGTCTCTTGAAATTTTATAAATTTATCTCTTTTTAAAATTTTAAAAGTTCCTCAAATATAAAATCTTACGTTCGTCCATTCATATATGTATTTTAGTTTGGCTTACTATTACTCCCTAAATTATGGTTTTTTGTATTGAGTTGTCTTCTAAAATGTTTTTCAGGACCATTTGTCTTTTGAAGTTGAAATAATTACTTTATTTGCCTCATTTCGTTAATTTCGTAAAAAAAAACTACATATTTAGTTATTCTACTACTCTTTTTTTTTATTAATATGAGGTAAGTACAAAATAGTATATGTTCAAAGATAACTGTTAACTAATTGATATTGAATGCTCACACCCCAACATTCATTGTGTTTGAACTCGGGGCCTCAAGGAATAACAATAATGTCTTTACCACAAAGATCGCTTGGTTCGCTCCACTCTACTAGTCTCACGATTTTATTTTGATCACCTAATTATTTTCTAAATTTGTAATATATAAAAATTCATTTATATCACATATTTTTTATTTGACTCATAAATTTAATTTATAATAATTAATAATATATTAAGTTTTTTGTACTTAAATTTTAATAAAAATATTAAATATTAAGTAAAAATACCATAAATATTTTTAAAAAATAAAAATAACAAGTCATTACTCATTTATAAATATATGTTTTAGATAAAATTTATATCTCGTATTTTAAATCATACTAATATTGAATAAATATAAAATATATTTATATCAAATATAAAATCAACTTAATTTATGAATAGATTTAATTTATAATATATTTGTTTCAAGATACAAAACTATTTGAAAAACAATTGCTTGTAACATATTTTATGGTTAGACAATAATATTAGTTTTGAAAAAATATTTAAGAAGAAAGTAACCCCAACCAACAATAAAGAGAAATCCCTAACCTGAAGCAAAGCATTGTGTAATACCCCAAATATCAAGTTAGTGTTTATAGTGAAAAGATTTAAAATTTGGTGGGTTAAGTTGAATAAATTGAAAAGTACAAGGATTGATTTAGGAAATTGTGTTTAAGACTTATTATTAAGAATGAAATAATGGAGGGGCATTATAGTCTTTTAGAAGGAAATGAATTTAATATTAATTTCTTTTAGAGATATTTAAGTGTTGAATAGGTGAAATAAGAGGATTGTAATAGAGGCACCAGTGCTCGTACAACCTGAGTCGAGTAAAGACTATGTAGTTTTTAGTTATGCATCTCAAAATGGGTTGGGATGTGTGGTTATGCAAGAAGGGAAAGTTGTGGCTTATGCCTCGAGACAACTAAAAACCCACGAGAGAAATTACCCAACACGTGACTTAGAATTAACAGCGGTCGTGTTTGCTTTGAAGATTTGACATCATTATCTGTACGGCGAGCGGTGTCATATTTATACATATCACAAAAGTCTAAATTACTTGTTGACTCAAAAAGAACTAAACTTGAGGCAGAGAAGATGGATCGAGCTTTTAAAAGATTATAATGTGATCATCGATTATCATCCAGGGAAGGCTAATGTGATAGCTGATGCACTTAGCCGAAAGACTTTTGTAGCTTTATGGGCTTTGGATGCACATATGTCGTTAAAGGAAATGTCACCTTGATTACTGAGCTTAAGTTATAGCCGATGTTGTTGGATCGGATAAAAGAGTTGCAAAGACAAGATGGAAAATGTTTGGCAAGAATTGCACAAGTAGAAAAAGGTGAGACCAAAGACTTCGAAATCAGGACTGATGTATGTTTATATTATCGTGGAAGACTTTGCATTCCAGATAATGAATAACTAAGGAAAGATATTCTCTCTGAGGCACACTATAGTCCTTTGATGACACATCCAGGCGGGAATAAGTTGTATTAGGATATAAAGAGTCGTTATTGGTGGTCTGGCATAAAAAGAGTTATATAAGTGTTTGTTGTAAAATGCCTGACGTGTCAGCAAGTGAAAGCTGAACATAAAGTGCCTTCCAGATTGCTGCAACGATATCCATTCCTGAATGGAAGTGGGAACGAGTAACTATGGATTTTGTTTTCGGGCTACCTTAGTCACCCAGTAAAAATGACTTAATATGGGTAATTGTGGATAGATTGACCAAGATAGCTCACTTTATTCCATCTCGGATGGATTACTCGATGGATAAATATGCAGAGTTGTATAAAAAAAAGATAGTTTGGTTTCATTGAGTACCTATATTGATCGTATCCGATCGAGATCCAAGGTTTACTTCAAGATTCTAGAATTTTTTACACGAGGCATTGATACTCGATTGAATTTCAGTACGACTTTTCATCTGCAGACAGATAGTCAGTCAGAGTGAACTATTAATGTATTGGAGGATATGATGAGGGCATGAGTGTTTAAGTTCAAAGGATCATGGGAAAGATATTTGTCTTTAGAAGAATTTTCCTATAATAACAATTACCAATCGAGTATTAAGATGGCTCTGTTTGAAGCCTTGTATGGGAGGAAATGTCGAACACCATTGAATTGGTTTAAGCTAAAAGATCGAAATCTAGTTGACCCGGATTTAATAAAAAAAATGGAAGATAAAGTGAAAGTTATCCAAGATAATATTAAGATAGCTTCCGATCGAAAAAAGTCTTATTTTGATCTAAAGAGAAAAGAGATTGGATATCAAGTGGCAGATAAGGTATTTTTGAAAGTATCACCTTGGAAGAAAGTATTATGGTTTGGGCGTAAAGGAAAGCTGAGTATGAGATTTATTGGACCTTATGAGATTTTAAAAATGGTCAGACCAGTAGCTTATTAGTTAGCTTTGCCTCCCAATATAGACAAGATCCACAATGTTTTTCATGCCCCAAATATCGGGTCAGTGATTATAGTGAAAGGATTTAAAATTTGGTGGGTTAAGTTGAATAAATTTAAAAGTACAAGGATTTATTTGGGAAATTATGTTTAAGACTTATTATTAAGAGTGGAAGAACATAGGGACATTATAGTCTTTTAGAAGGAAATGAAATTAGTATTATTTTTTGTTAGAGATATTTATTAAGGGATAAATATGAGAAAAATCATAAAGCTAAAAACTCTTCTTCTTCTCATCCTTGTACCTCCATAGCAAAGGTAAGATTTCTTCAAGTTGGCTTTTCCTTTCATTTTTTGGGTTGATTTTAAAGCCATAAGTGATATAAAAGCTAAGGAATGCTTAAGAGTGAATAAAACTAAGAAATTAATGATTCAGTAAAATGGGGTTTTAAATGATTTGATGAAATATGATCAATTATTGGAGTTTAAAAGCATTTTTCCTTTTCAAAGATGTAAATAACATATTTGGATCCTTAGAAGTGATTGAAAACATGTTTGAAATTTTGTTGTGATTCTTAGTTTTGAGTGTTCTTTGGAGATTTTGGATGTTATAAGGATTTTTGGATGTAAGATAGATTGGATAAGTGATAGTGAGTTTAATGGTATGGTTGGAGATAAGAGTAAGAGATTTAGGTGAAATTTGTGTAAAATTCGAAGTAAAAAAGGTAAAATCTAGGTAAGGGTATCAGTACTGGAAGAACAATACTGATACTATAAGGTTTTTATTAGAGGATTTAGATGAACAATATCGATACCGATTTAAAGAAGTATCGATATTGAGGTGTATGTATTGATACAAAGAGGAAGGTGTCGATACCGTAATAAAAAATGAAATTACAGAATGCTAGAATGGTATCGATACCGAAGTGGGTATCGTTACCATAAAAGAA